ATTAAGTAACTTACTCGAGGTCACAAAACTGCTAAACGGTAGAGCTAAGATGCAAATTCAGGTCTGTCCAAAGCGCATGTTCTTTCTACTTCACCATACTCTCTAACAGGCTCTACCATAAAAGTCTAGGCAAATAATTCACTAATATATTCATTCATTTATTAAAATATACACTTTCTAAAATTTACTTTATCTGATCTTTTATTCAGCAAAATAATTTATTGAGTGCCTATTATGTGCCAAGCACTGTGCCACTTTGGACCTAGAAAGGCAAATAAAAAAGGGTCCCAGTTCCTTCTTCTTTTGAGACTCTTGCAGTAAAGTGAGGAAGTCCTTTATAGGTTGATAGAGGAAAGAAGGCACAAGAGGAGCAGAAGAGAGTCCTCCCTGAGTAATTTCTGTGTCAGGGAAAAAACAGCCCAGAACGGCGGAGAACCTCAAGAGTCATCTCTACATCACCTTGTAGTCTGGAGCAGACTCAATGGTAGGTGTTAACTATTCAGGAATGCTGATGGCATGCACAGAGGGCCCTCCCTTATGGCTGTGCTGCCTGGTACCTGACTCTGACCACACCCCAAGCACAACTGGGAAGCTTTTTGTCCTCTCCCTTGCCAAAAAAAATTTTCTCCCATGAATCCTTCCATAGAAAATAAAAAGTATACATTGGTAAGTCCTCCAGGCCTCTCTAGCAGAGCAGCCTCTGGGCAAGAGCAGAGGGAAGCTGGAAGGGGCTGCTTCACTTCAACCTAGGAGCCCTTGTCTATGGGATCAGCCACCTAGGACCCTCTTCCTAGGCACTAAGGGTCACCGGTACATGAAACAAAACCATAACCCAATACTCTGCCTTTCCTAAAGATCTTCCTGGTTATTTTTCATAATTTCATGTTTGTAAACAGTTTCAGTACTTGCTAACCATGTCTGCATGTTTTATCTCAGTGGTCACACAGTCCCATCAAACAAGTTGTGTTTCACCTCTTTTATAAATACAGAAGACACTGAGTGGCACTGCCCAAGGTTATACAGCAAGGACAGGCCAGACTGGGGTTTGCACCCTGGCATTCTGACAGCAGGTTCAGTGTGCTCACCATTAGATTACAGTCTCAAGACTACACTGTGAGCCAGCCACCAGAAGCCTACACTTGTCTCCCTAACTGCCATCCCTCTTGGCATTTGTAGCTTTTTGCAAGGATACAACAAAGTTTTAGGTCCTCTAGACACCACCGTAGTCTAAATACAAGTGGCCAAGGAGCGGCCATGAAACGCAGACTCTCCCACTGATCGGCACATTTGCACCTTTTATTTCCAAGAATTTCAGTCCCAAGGGGAGGATGAGAGAGCTGCAGGTTTGGGATACACCTAGACAGACTTTCTGGAAAAACGCATGGGTGTAGCACTGAGTTTGGAGAAAATGTGCAAATATCAGTGCAGTGTCAAGGAGATAATAACCCAGAGAAGTGAGTGAAGAGAGGCCCAGTGATTCTGCCCTTTGCAAAGGTTAAGATCATATGAGCAGGGAAAATATGTCCACTCTCTCTGCTCCCAGGCTGGCAAGGAAGCCAGCCAGGTGTTCTTTCTCTGCTGAATGTATTAGCTATGGGGCAGGACTTTACAAACTACAGAGCGTTATGACCCAGAGCCAGGCAGACCTGAGTTTGAATCTCAGCTTTCGCATGTTTAGCAATGTGGCCTTGAGCAAAGAAATTAATCTCTTTAATCTCTTTCCTTTATCTGCAAAATGACTAGAAATGACTAGATTCTTCCATAGACCCTACAAGAGGAGGGCAGCTCTGCTGGCACCTCGATTTTAGGCCAGTGAAACTCATTTCACACTTCCGACCTCCAAAACTTTAAGAGAATACATTCGTGTTGTTTTAAGCCGATAGGTTTGTGGTAATTTGTTACAGCAGCAATAAGAAACTAATACTTATTTTTGTCAAAATACCCATCTCTTAGGTCTGTTGTGAGGAGTGACTTTCTAAGTTATTACATATGCCACCGATGCCAAGAGTCTGAAGGAGAAGAGAATGCATAGTGGAAAAGGAGAAAAATGTAGTGGTTCACAACTTTGGAAGATCTTGTCCATCAAACGATTCCTGCATTCCCTACTTCAACCCACAGCTGGGCTGCCTCTCTGCCATTTCCTACCACATACTTGTCTAGACCTCAATGTACTTCTCTTTCCGCTCAAACCAATCTCCTATCTGCCTCCTTCCTTCTTTTCCCCTACTTTTGTCTGCATTTTTCTACCCTGATTCTGATTTGCAGTTCTCCCAGAGGATATTCATTTGTCTATCCCCGCTTTTTAAAACTCTGTTCGGCAAAGTTTTCTTTGGGAAAGTATGTACTTTATGGAATGTAATTGGGTCACTGAGGCCAAATCCCTTTCCAGGTTTCCTTCAGCTTTTTTCTGGACCAATAAAGACCTTCTTTGAGTCCTACCTACCTTCTTCCTCTACTCTATGACCCAATTTCCCCCTTTATTCTATAACGTACAGTCATTTTTGCATTGGATCCATGTTGCTATAATCACAATTCCTCAAAAGAACAAACTGTATTGTTTCTGTTCCAACTAATCATCATAAATCGGCAGCTACCTAGCAAATGGGTGCATAATCAGTAGTGGTTGATAATGGTACTGAATTCGGCCTCTTCAGATTTTTGCCCTTACTCTCTATACTAGTGTTGTCTGAACTTCTACCTTTCACGGTCTATTTACTTGTATTTCAAGTTTAGACGGTAACCCAACTGGTCAGGGCCAATATCTGTGCATACCAGTAATGAACTTTACAATGTGACCAACCCAGTTGCATGAGTACGGTTCCCTTTTGGGAGGGTAGGGGTTGTATATTAACTCATTCATGGGACTCGGGGTCCTCTCAATCTAGTGCATAACAATCTCTGGAAAGAATGAATGACATTTCTAAGCACGAAATGACATTTCCAAGGAGAAAGAAATAAATGGCATTTCTAAGCAGAAACTACACTTCGCAGTCTTGTAACAATGGCCCAGATTCTTCTATTCATTCAGTAAACATTGAAGGAGGACCCACTATGTGCCCAATTCCGAGCCAAAAACACTTATAGATTTTAACTCCTTCAATTCCCACAGCTACGCAGGTAAACAGGAAAGGGAAGCATTTAGAGATGTTTAAGATTACTTGGAAGGTTGTAAATACAATGAAGTTAAAATTCAGCAAGTTCTGAGTCAGACAGAAGGCTTGTCTCCCACTGATCCCCACACAAACCAAGACTTCAGCCAAAGTGGCCAGTTTGCTCTTTCATGGGCTCCTGGCTCTTCCGGTGCTCTAGTCCCTGATCTTCCCTTTCCCTTTCCCTGGCATGTCACCCACACCACCCTCCTCCCGCACCCATGCACATCTAGTTTACTTATCAAAACCATGCATGTTATGCAAGGCTTATATCTTCCTTCTTCTGAACCTCTTACATGTACTATAACTATTTAGACATATCTCAGCTTCCCTACTAGAACATAAAATCCTAGACTACAACAATCTCCCTTACGTATCTTCGTACATCTCAAAATGCAAGTTGTATCAATACAGTTTGATTTAGAGCATGAATGCAAGAAGTGATTAGTTAATTAATTTAATTAATAAAACATTGAGAGAGATGAATGGATTTTTCTCAAGGTGATTCAAGTGCAAATGCCAAAGTGATTAATTCAAACACACTTACCTTCACGTTCCTTCCAGAGAGTCCTGGGGGAGGGAGAGGCCCACTAATTTTTAGTGCCACACAAAGCACTAAACATTGTAAATAATTTCTCGGAGCCAGCGTGTGCTGGAGGGATGAGCTTGGGCTCACGCAGACCAAAATCTGCAGCCAGCTCTTCCACTCACTGGTTGTATGACCCCAGGGAACATAAGTGACCTAAATTAATGCTTCGTTTTCCTCATTTGCAAAATGAGCTTCCTCAGCTTTTTCCTTTTTCTACCTAATTGGGTATAAGAATTAGATGTGTCTATGTAAAGCATCTAGTAGAGTGGCATGTAGAAGGAACTAAATGTTAGCCCGTCTTTTCTCCCACTCTCCCTCTTATGTGATGGTATATTTTTTATTTGCCAACTATTGTTTTATTAATTCATTTTTAATTATAATTGACATACGGTATTGTTAGTTTCAGGCATACGACATACTGATTCAACATTTACATACCTTACATGTTGAATAGCTATATTGCACACCTGAAACTAATAAAACATAACATAAAAAATAATATAATTAATATAATATAATGACTAATAATGTACTTATTATGATGTTATTGACTCTATTCCCTACGATGTACATTATATCAACATGACTGGAAGTGTTATAGGTTTTATTTTATAACTAGAAGTTTGTATTTCTTAATCCCCCTCCTTTTTCTGGCCCTCTCCCTCTCCTCTTGCAACCAAAAATTTGTTCTTTGATTTCACTTACATGAGGAATCTAAAAAACAAGACAAATGAACAAAGAAACAAACAAACTCATAGATCTAGAGAGCAAATGCCGACTATTTCTGAAGATAACAAAATATTCTGAAAATAATGGTTTTTAACAGCTGCCCATAATCCCTCTGGTAACCAACTGCCAAGTCTGGCCACGGGTTTACCTTTTGGGTTTCATACCAAGGACCATCGGTGAACTTTAGCACTGCCCACTCATCACTACCTCAGGTCTGCCCTTGTTGACTGTGGGACCTCAGTTTATCACTCAGAAGTATGTAGTCTGTATATTCCATATCTTAAAGAACTCCTGAAAGTTACTGATCAGATGCTGGCAAGCTTTACTTTTTTTTTCTTCTGTATAAAATTACAGTGATTACTGAGTTTAGTAACCCAATTTCCCCCATTGCTAAATGATTGCATGACTTTGGTTTGGATGTTTTAGAACACAGGAAGGCAATATGCAATGGTGTGACTTAGTCACGTTATGAAACTTGCAACAGATATGTCTCCCACCCCTATTAAGTTGTAATTGTCTCAACTGTGTGTCTTCAGCATGTGGAAAACCGTGAAGATGGCCAAGGACGACTCCGCTGTTCGTTGCTTCCAGGGCCTGCTGATTTTTGGAAATGTGATTATTGGTGTAAGTAATGAGTATTCTTAGACAATCTTGCTCTTCCTGTAATCATGATTTTAGATCAATCAAAAGTGAGAGTTTAAAGGAAAATAATTATATAATTACTGGCTCCCTACATCTTTTCCCATTTTAAGAAATGCATTAGTAAAATATGCTAGCTGGATTTTAACTATATAAATAATCATATATAACTATATAATATATCAAAAGACCGTGATTGAAAAAAATAAATATTTCCCTTGCGAGTTTGAAACATGAGAATCTAAAAGGAGCCGTGTCAACCATGGTCAGCATCCAAGCACTTCTGCCACACACTCGCTCTGGTGATTTTTCCTGTTTCACTTGATTTGATTTCCATGGTACTCTGCCATTAAGGTTGTTGGGGGCAGATGCTTGTGTCTTCTTGTTATCTCACACAGAGGCATGTGGGAGTAGCTCAGACACCAGGCTGTGGGGTAGGGGCACGGTTGGTGGGAGAGCACCTGGAACTTAGGATCCCTGGCTCTTGGCCCAACCCTGCCTCTGACTCCGTGTGACTCTGGACAAGTCTTTGCCTTTAAGGGTCAAGACCCTTCATCTGTAAAATACCGGGGTGGGAGAGGTAATGACCAAGTTTCTTTCAATGGTTTTCAGGCACCGATAAATTTGACTGGTACCACTTTAAATATTATAATCCAAGAATTTGGGTGATGGACAGTGGGAGTGGGTGTGGGAAGTTATCATCATACAAGAAAATGTCTTTTTAGTGTTTTATGCCCCAAGAACTTTATAGATGGTCTTAAATTGGGTCTTTTCTCGAATAACAATAAGACAGTATATGTGAAGGGAGGCATGCAACCAATTAGTAGAATGGCAGGAGCTATTTGGTTTCCTGACAGTGAGGAGTTGGAGTCCATTGCTTAAAGCCTTTGCAGGGGACGGAGTTAGTCTCTCTTACCCACCCACCCCCACTTCTCTATCTTTTAACCAACACTGCTCTTCTGGCCACCAGCTAAAAGAAACCCCTTTGCCCCCTCAGATGTGTGGCATCGCGCTGACTGCAGAGTGCATCTTCTTTGTCTCAGACCAACACAGCCTCTATCCACTGCTTGAAGCCACCAACAATGCTGACATCTTTGCGGCAGCCTGGATCGGCTTGTTTGTCGGCATCTGCCTCTTCTGCCTGTCTGTTCTAGGCATTGTAGGCATCATGAAGTCCAGCAGGAAAATTCTTCTGGCAGTAAGACCTTAAAACTCTCTACAGTTATCTCCTGAACCAATTGATGGATTGTTTCTTCTTCCCTGAGCACAATGTTTTGACTTTTAGTGGAGGAGGGAGAGCAGAGAGTGCCACGGGAGAAGGGGAAGACTCTCCCTTAAGTAAAGGTTCTCACGTGAGGGCAAGGATGCCCTCTGCTATTCCAAGTCCAGAAGATTCCAGTCCAGAGAACACAAATGGGAGACACCTGGGGGGTCACCCTTTCGAGTATTTTTGAAATGTGTTTCTCCAACTGGTATCTATATGCACCCACCGGTACTCCCAGGAGCTACATAGTCCAAACAGAGTGAGGACTTCATAATTAGATTTTTTTCTCTTGACAATAAGTAGTTTAAAATATTATGTAATATGAATCAGAACTTGATATATAAAGATATAAAATACAAAATATGCATGATTTTTTAAGAGAAAGCATGAGCCTTTTCAGACATTTTTGAGCTCAAGGCTGATGATTTTGTAAGGTGACCTCCACTTGCCATTATTATACATCCACTCTGCTTTTGAGGGACCCTGGAGAAGCTCGATGCACATCACTGTAGACCACAGCCTCAATTCCCACCTGCACATGGAAGCTCTAACTCTGTGCACCCACAGAGACAATTTGACCCCAAACCACAGACAGCAAGGTCATGCCCTGCCATTGTGGAGGAATTAAATTTTAGATATTTTGCAAAAATCAGCAGAGCTAAGAACCCTGGTGTTGGGTCTAGACCTCTCCAGTCTCTGCTCCCAAGCTGAAGACAACAAGCAGTTTCTCACACAGTGATGGGGTTCTGCCCCCCACCACGCCCCTTCCTGAGATAACTCTCCACCAAATGCTGCAGGACAGGAGTTCCACCTTTATGGAACCAGTTGAGCAACATAAGGTGCTCACTGGTTCACCTCTCCTGTGACCCAACATTGTCTTGGCACCCAGGGAATGCAGACCATTTACATTCTCTGGTTCCTTAGTAAGAGTTAGTTCCAGGGCAAAAGCACCCACTTTGGGAGGGTGGGGAAAGGAATTCAGGGAAAGGAAGAGATCCTAGAGACAAGCTGCATCTCAGTCTCAGTTTGGGGCTGTATGTGTTCCTGATACAGCAAGAATATCTGAGCTGGAAGGGAATATTTTTCACCATGCCCAGAAAAGAGAAGGAGCCAGAAACCTGCCCAGAGGCTGACGGGGAAAATGCTTGCACCTTATGCCTTCTTTCTGGAGTGTTTCTAAGGGGTTTTCTGAGACACTTAGGAGGAGCCAGCCAACCTCTTCACAAAGAGCAAGGCAGCAGCTTATCCAGGGGAGAAATGTTGTGAGGACTCTGAAGGTGGTCCTTTTGTTTACTCTCCAAAGCTTTTCTCTAGGCTGAGTGGTTAGGGCAGCAGAGGGTCCTGCTCAGAGACCCTCCCCTGCCCAGTTTCCCCCGTGCTCTTCTACCAACACCAACCACAGTGTCCCTTCCTCAGAAGAACTCAAGGACCAAAAGTGTGTGCGCAAAGCTGAGGAACTCAAAGGCAGAACTCTTAAGTCTTCCCACCAGATTCAGAAGTCATTTGTTGTTCAGATATTTTCCAGCCGTAAATAGAGGCAGAGTGGTATGGAGGCATCATGTGTGCGTGTGCGCGCGCGCACACACACACACACACACACACACACACACATGTAAGTTTATTCTCTTGCATTCGTTTTTCTCTGTTAAAATAGAAATGCAGGGTACTGGACTGAGCAAGCTCTGTATTCAATGGGCATTTGTTCTCTAGGGGAAAGAAAAGAACTGAGCTGATTAGCACCTAGCACCAAGTCTTGTTCCAAGCAGCTGATCAATGAGGGTTTGTTGAATAACTGTGTGAACAATTGGATGATTATATTTATACCAACTTACTGAAAAACATAATTATTTGTTTAAAAAAAGTCTTTCTTTGGAAGTAAATGTAACTCTTTTTTTTTAATGTGTTTCTCTTCCAGTATTTCATTCTGATGTTGATCGTATATGCATTTGAAGTGGCATCTTGTATTACAGCAGCAACACAACGAGACTTTGTGAGTACAATCTCAAAAGCACAGAGCAAAATGATCATATGAATCATCGTTATCATCATAAGATAATAGCTGACAATAACAGGCACTCTAATATGCACATTAATCATAAATATATAATTTTACTTAATTCTCATAATAACCCTATAAAATAGTTATTATCACTATTATCATTTCATAGATGAAAAAAATGAGACTTAAATGAGACTTAACCAGGTAATTTGTCCAAAGTTACACAGCTGATAAGTGGAAAGGGAGAATCCTGAGTCCAGGCAGTGTGGATCTCAGGGCCCAAGATGTACCCCCTATGCTCTTCATCATTCTGCCATGCCCACTGGCCCCCCAAAAGGATGATCAATAATCTACCACATCTAAGACTTACTCTCATTTCAGCTGCTTTCTCTCTCTTTCTCTAATCCCTAGCCTGAGCCACCCTGCAATGCCTGTCCACCCTAGCCTCACTGAGATTTCTTTGACGATGGAGATTTCTCCTTACAAGGGGATTTCAGGCACTCAGGACAGGTTCACAACTGTCCCTACCCCTACTGGGTACCTCTGAGCAGTTCTACTCCCAGGAGGCAGCGTTCAGTGCCCCCAAGAATGGGCTGAGCAAAATCGCTTTTGCCTCCTGGGGGATTGATTAGTGGTTCTAACTCTCTCTCTTGTGTTGCCTCCTCCCTTCGTAGTTCATACCCAATCTCTTCCTGAAGCAGATGTTGGAGAGGTACCAAAACAACAGCCCTCCAAACAATGATGACCGGTGGAAAAACAATGGAGTCACCAAAACCTGGGACAGGTTCATGCTCCAGGTAACACCCGTGGTCATGGGGAGATGCTATTTTGTACTTAAACCAGTATCCAGTGGTATATGTATGGTTGAGAGGGAAGTCAAGAGGTGAGGACTGCAGCCTCCAAAAGGATTTTCTTCAAAAAGAAAGGCATGGCATAGGCAAGTTCATCAATTGCTCTTACTTATCAGCAGGCGTTGTACACATGACTCAGTGGGACCTCTAGATCTCTATTTTATTTTAAACCATGATGTTGATTAGCTTCCATTTATACAGATAATGACGTTGTCAAGAAATTTAGATTTATCACACATTCTGCCTGTTAGAACTCAGGCATCTCTTATGTTAAAGGAAAAATATTGCCTGCTGCCCCACAGTTAACTCAAGTGGCAATTACTGTCTCCTTTGCTTATTTCGTACCTTTCACACCTCCTGTGGGCTAGTCCTGCTAAGGACCATGAGCTATGACTTCATTTGATCACCCTCTACTTGGCAATGATACCTTATATCCAAGTTTACCTCAAATACCATCAAAAGTCCAAGTCTTTCAGAATATCCGTTGTCACCTCATATCGCTGTATGTATATAAATTCTCATCCCCGCATAAGTCCTGATCTGAAGGTGGTCCAGCTCTCACACTGCCCCTAACCTCCAGCCCCCACCAACATTTCCCAGTCTGTCATTAGCAAACTCTCGTAAGGCCTCCACCCCTCCTTTGAACTCTCTCTTTACCCTCTATCTTCTATAATTACTTTCATTTATTTTAATATTTCCAGTCTAATACTTTTCTTACCCTATTTGGACCCCCAGTTCATTGCCATCTTTTCCCTTTCTATTACTCTTCTGACTCTAGGTCAAGTATTTTTTTTCCACTCTGGTAACAAGATCTAAGCTCTTCAAAAGAAAATGCGAATGTTCTCACATTTGAAAAATCCACTTACTATCTTTTTAAAGCCCAGTCTGAAATAACCTTGGATCAAATTTAACCATCTTTTTCCAAAATGCTCAGTTTAAAATACAAGATGATTTTTTTCTTTGATAAGATATTTTCCATAATCTAGTGGCAAAAGAGGACATGCTTTAAAGATAGTTGATTTGTCGTCAAGTTTACTTGGATATATTTATTCTAAAAGTTGAGAGATACCTGTATTTTTTTTACAGCAAAAAAGAAAAGCTTTATTAAAAGAGAAAGTACACTTCCAGACGTGGACGTGGGCCTGAGCAAGAGAAGCGTGGCGCTAAAGGCCAATACTTGTATTTTTAATTTCTTCCCTTAAAACATTCTAGCAGAATTTATAAAAAAGTATGAAAGTGATATAAATTGTGTTTTATCCTCTCTCCTCAGTTCTTTCCAGAGTGTAAGCATATTAGCTGCGTGTTAATTGATCTTCCTTTCCTATGTAGAGGTATAGCTATGTGCCACTAGGTTTTGATTATTTTTTCCAGCTTATTTTCTCCTATTATAAAAGTAACACATATAGAAAATGTTAAAAATATAGAAAAGTAAAACAAAAAGAATTACGAATTATTTCTTCAGCACTAGTAATTTTAATTTTCTGATCCTCAATTTGTTCCTTTGTAGTTTGAGAATAATTATATCTCCCTCACACTGTCGTATCGAGATATTAGTATTTCTTTTTTTTTTCCCCCTCTGTAATACCACCCCCACCACCCTGCCCACTTCCACTCCTGACCCATGGATGTTGCCGTTTGCCCCTTAAGAACTGGATCTCTGAGGGCGTGGTGTCCCCTTCCACATGCTCGCAGCACACCCCGGGGCCTGATGCCCCCGGCAAACTCGGGGTATGGTCCGTGGCTCCACCTGGGGCGTGAACCCAGGACTTTCTACGTGCAAAGCAGACATGCTAACACTATGGAGCCACCCCCAGTATTTCTTAAGTATTAGTATTTATTGAGGGTTTACTATGGGCCAGGTAGTATACTAAACACAATAGATGTATTAACCAATTTAATTCTCACAACAACAAATAAAGTACCTACCTCACACAACAACTCCATGTGAGGTAGGTACTTTATTTATCCCAATTTTATAGTTAAGGAAATTGAGGTTTAGATAATTTAAATAACTAGTCAAAGGTTACAGAGCCCATTAATGGCTGGTGAGGTAATAAATGAAAAAGTATTTGTACACTCTACAATACAGGTTATCAATACCTTCAACTCTTGTTAATAATTTTTAGTAAACATAAAATATAGTACAATTTTCGTATCTTCATTCTCCATAAAATCTCAGTTGCTACACTGATGGATGTAACAAGGACCATGGAAGAGAATTTTGTAATTCTCATCTGCCACAGGACAAATGCTGTGGTGTGAATGGTCCCTCAGACTGGCAGAAATACACGTCTGCCTTCCGGACTGAGAATAATGATGCCGACTATCCCTGGCCTCGTCAGTGCTGTGTTATGAACAAGCTGAAAGAACCTCTCAACCTGGAGGCCTGCAAACTAGGTGTGCCTGGTTATTATCACAATCAGGTGAGTCCTCTCTACCCCCAAGACCTTCCAGAAGGTTCTTCTGCTCTTCATGAGAAAAATACTAGCTAATTTTGGTAAGTCTCTCGGTAAGGAATTCTGGATCCTTTTACCTAAACCTCATGTTAACTATTTCTTTCTCTGTTAGTACAATGTGAATGCCAATCTAGGGCTGATCTGGGAAATTTCCTATTTTAATAAAATTAACAGAACATGAATATTGCAATAACAAAGTTCAACTGTTTCAATGAAAACATTTGTACAATGTATAGAATTGTTGTATCGAAAACTATTTATATTAACAAAGATTTGCTCTAATTTTGCAAAATGTAAATTGAAGGGATGGTATGCGAAAAGGATGTTTTGCCAGTTCCAAAGCAGTAGCAGTTGCTGAGAGCAAATGCAGTAATTGTGTATCCACATTCCTTATTCAGTGGTAATATAGGATAGTCTTCATAAAATATTAGATTGGTGATTTGGGTAGAAAGTAATTTACATACAGATGGTTTTTGAAAAAGTGTCTACAACCTAATGAGGATGATATAGTGATGATGGAAGCTAACGTTTATTGAGTACTTACTGTTCCAAGTGCCTTGCATATATTAACTCACTTAATGCCCAAAGGTAGCTGCCAGTATGATCCCTATTTTATGGATGATGAACTGAAATATGGAGATTCCAATAGTTACTTTACCCAAGATCGTGCAGCTAGTAAATGATAGAGTCAGGATTCAAATGCTAGCAGTCTGGCTCCAGAGCCCAGACTCTAAGCCAAGAAAGAACTTGGAAATATTCCCCAAAAGCCCTGAAGAGAATCCTCATGCACATATGGTCAGCCTCTGAAATGCTGGACACTGCTTTGCGAGTAACCACTTTGAGGAAAGTTAGCTGTATGCCAGTTCATTAAATAATTTAGAAATGTCAGTATATTTAGTCTTGAAATAAATAACACAAAGCGCCTTTCAAAATGAAGGACGCAGCCTGATGATCATCCTGCCCCTACTGGAAGGGCATCTGGACTAGGATTGGTTACATTAATCCAGAAAAGGACACGGGAGTGATACAGATTATTTTGCAGAGTTGTTCAAAGCAACCCTCATCTAGCTTTCCAGCAACATTGTTTTGGCATCATTATAATCAGTTATATTCAGACTGTTACAAAAATTAAATTTATTGCTTATATAATCATAGGAGGCAACATAACTGTCACTCTCAGGAGTCATAAAATGCTTTTAATATTTCAACCCTGGAACCGGCCCATGCAGACATATCTCGATGGGATTGTAATTGCATATAAACTATATTATCTCTTTGAAAGGGACAAATAATTATCTCTTTGCCTTCAGATAATCACTTTCTCTCGCAGCAACACTTTACATTCTTGTAATGAGGGACCTCCACACCTGGTTGGACAACCTTTCTAGCACCCTCCCTACAGTTCCTTGGCTTCACCTCGTCCTTAACATTTCCGCCTACACTACCCACCAGTTACACCACTACCACAAACTCATTATCATTCAGTGTTACTCCCCAACCTAATTCCTGAATCCTGAAATTCCTCTCACTGGCCCTGACTCTGTGTTTCTACTTTCTCATCCTCACTCATTTTTCACCCTCAATACAATCTCTTACTTATTAATCCTTTCCAGTTCTCCCCATCCCTTCTCTCCAGATTCTTGCACACTACCATTCTCTCTGAGTTATAGATCCCGCTAATTGTCCTATAGCAATCTTTTTCCACAAAGCAAAATAGTCACCCCAAAACCTCATATATTTCACTTCTATTATTGCAGCTGACACCTGGAATTATATCATAATTATTCGTTTGCAAGTCTATTTTTTCCGTGGGTCTCCTTGAGGGCCATGCATTATTCTATTCCTTATCTTCAGTTTTAGCATAGTGCCTGACACAAAGCAGGCATTACATTGGGTGGATGAATTAAAAGGTGAATGGCTCCCTTTTTCACGTCTATATTGTAGCTTTTCAAGATCTACATTGTACAAATGGATGCTAATGAAAGTAGAAAGTCATTATAAGTGTGGTATTAATAGAAATCAACGAGAAATTCACATAGCATGTCAGATGCAAATATGTGTATTCTTACATCATGGTCCATCTGCCCTAGAAATGCAATGTGCAAATTCTGGTCACTACATCTTAAGAGCATTATGATGGAACTGAGGAAGATCCAGTTAAGATCCACTTCAATGATGTAAATGAGAAGATGTGAAAACAACTGAGTTTTTGTTTGTGAGCTCCTTGAGGGCAAGACTTATTTCTGTCTTGTCACAGCTGAATGTTCAGCCTAGTGCCTAGCACCTGTCATAAGTGGACTGTTATACATATTATATATGGAGGTGGACAAATGACTACCTCCTAGGATTGCTGGGAGGATCAAGTGAATAATGGATATAGGAGTGTTTATGAACCATCAAGTGTGTCATGTGATACTGTTGTAATCATTACTTTATATCACGTTCTGTTCATCCTATCAATGTTTATTAGGTGTCCACTTTGTGTCAGGCATTTGTTCTAGACATTCTAGAGATTCAACAATGATCACAATAAAAGCCCTGCCCTTGTAGAGCTTTCGCTATAGTATCAGAGACAGACAATAAACAAACCACCCAAGAAACACAAGATAAATTCCAGGTAGTGATATATGACCACAAGCAGAAATAAAGCAGGGTAAGTGTATAGAGAATGATGAGAGAAAGGGTATTTTTCCCTGTGGTTGCTAGGAAAGGCTTTGTTGAGATGATATTTGTACACAGTTCTGAACTAAGTGAGGAAATGAGACCCTCGCTTAAAGAAGATTAAGGAAGAGAATTCTCTAAACAAAGGAAGCAAGCAACATGTACAAAGGCCCCGAAGCATTTTTAGCTTTTTGGAGAAATATCAAGGACATCAGTATGGCAAGCCCGAAATGAGTGAAAGAAGAGTGGAAGGCAAGGATAGATCTAGATTTTGTAGAGCCTGAAGCTTGGTGGATAGGGGTTTTCCTCAAAAAAAACGATTAAAAATATGCAGACAAAATTAGATACAGGGCTTTGAAATGGTCTTGTAAGCAAGCAGCCCTGAAATTCAACCTAGTAGCTTTACAGTGAAATAGCCTCTGGCAGTGACAGCCGGATTCCTAGAAAGAGGCAGGACAGTATCACACAGCACCTTGGAAGCCATCGCGAGGGCTTAGGATTTCATTTTAAGGGTTGTGGGAAGCCACTGGAGGATTTTGAGCAAGTTTGTGAAGTGATCTGATTTAGCTCTTACAAGGTTCCCTCTGGTCCCATATGAAGCCTAGTAGGGTGCCAAGAGTGGACTTAAGCCTCAGGGAGACCAGTTAGAAGGCTAGTGTAGTGATTCTGGAGTGAGGACATGGTGGACAAAGGTGGTACCAAGAAATAATAGGTGTTTGGATTTGAGATATATTTTAAAAGTAGACCAAAAGGATTTGCTTCAATATTTGATGTCAAGTAAGAGAAAAACAGTTAAGGATAGTTCCAAGGTTTTTCATTTGAGCATCTAGGTGGATGGAGGTGCCAGTAACGTAGGTGGCAGAAAGTATATAAGGAAGAAATCAAGGCATAGCAGAGGCAGGGCCTGTCAGTGGATTAACAAGGGACTAGAGCACAGTCAAAAAGGACAGAACCTCTAGCCACTGGGCAGGGCCTAAGCTTCAAGGTCAGCCTTTCGAGGACATTTTCCTGTGAACCTCCATGGTTCATTGAACTAGCCTGTTTTTTGCATTTCCTAGGCATTCCCTTTGATTTCCAGGGCTGTAGTGAAGGTCACTCAGAGAGTGCGTCTAGCCCTGCACATGTGTGTCACTGTAGCACTTTGCATAGTGACTAAAACAGAGTATGCCACATATAAAAACTTACTAGATTATGGCATGTATGAATGAATTATTTGATGAATAAAAAAACGAATCATTCTTTTGCACATACGCGGTGGCTCTTCAAGGTCTCTCTAGAACCAATAAAGATATTTTGAAATATGAGGTCAAATGAAAAATTAGAAAGCATAGTATAGGAGTCCCTTCAATGATTTAAAAAAAAAAAAAAAAACAACTTGGTTTTCACAGACCAGAAGAAATGAAATCACCAACTAATGCTGCCCTCAAACACATCACCAATAAAATCTTTTGGAAGAGAAAAAATTCAAACTTTATTAAGAATACTTTACATTGCCCACGTATTTGATATATATATATCAAATATTATTTTTCACAGACCAGAAGAAATGAAATCACCAACTAATGCTGCCCTCAAACACATCACCAATAAAATCTTTTGGAAGAGAAAAAATTCAAACTTTATTAAGAATACTTTACATTGCCCACGTATTTGATATATATATATCAAATATTATAAGGCTAAAATAATAGCATCTTATTTTTTTTAAAAAAAGCTTTAATTGGCGGTAATTACAAAAATAATAATAAAATAGCAGTACCATTGTTAGATTGAACGGTAAAGACACAAATAAATGTAATAGAGAAGAGTTATTCGACAGGATTATTTCTAGTCCCTGGCCAAAGCACTGTTAATAACTGACTGTCCCCAGGGATGTGGAAATAGCCCGATTATGTTACATCGGACTTTGGAGCGGCATTGATTCACATAGCAGTCTGCTTTCCCACCCATCTCTTAACATCTTTCTTTCTGGTTCCTCTCATGCTGATGTGGAATCACCCACTCTTCCAGGGCTGCTATGAACTGATCTCTGGACCGATGAACCGACACGCCTGGGGGGTTGCCTGGTTTGGATTTGCCATTCTTTGCTGGACTGTGAGTATTTCCTGGTGCATGTCTTATTTCTGAGAGGACAATGTTAAGGAGAGACCTTGAGATTGCCCCTGGTTAGTCCAACCACACTAGACTGTCTGGAAACAAAACCTCAAACTTGCGGGCTAGTCAGGAAGCTGCTGCCACCTGAGCAAAGGACAGTGATTCCCTTGGGAGGCAGGGAGTTACCTCCCCCTACCAGAGAAAGGATGTGCCCTACTAACCAGACCCTTCTTCTGGGCGACTGGGATGCACCTGCCTCTCCTCCAGGTCTCCAAATCTCATTAATTCATTATAGCGAGATGTAAAAAGACTGCCATCTACTAATCCGCCCAGCTCCTTCTGAACAGCTGCCTCCACCAGTCTCATCTATCCTGCTGCTCACATTGTGTGATGCACATGAAGCAAGAGGGTAGGGCCATGATTCTCGGCCCTGGCTGCTCATTAAAACCTCCTGGGGGAGCCTAGAAAAGAAAGCATACCTGGACTCCAACCTCTGAGATCCTGATTTATTTCAGCTAGGGTCAGGGCCCCAGCTTTTTTTTTTTCCAAATGATTCTAATTTGCTGTCAGGATTAAGAGCCATTGCATGTGGGAAGCAGTTCCAAACTTTTGGGTTCAGAATCCTTTCACTCTCTCAAAAGTTATTGAGAACTCCCAAAAGCTTTGTGTCTATGGGAACTATAGCTATTGATATTTACCTTATTAGAAATTAACAGAAATTTAAAAATTACTTATTAATTCATTAAAAATAATAATAAACCAATTGCATGTTAGCATAAATAATCTTGACATCATTCACCCCTAAAAGGGCCCATCCGGTACTAGTGCACCACAATTTAAGCAATGTTGGGTTTGGAGTGAGAAACAGAGTGAGGCAGGAAGGAAGGGAAAATCAACTCCTTCTAGAAGTCTTCTATGACCCCTCAAGTCGCCCTCTTAGTAACTCCCACCACACTCTACACACACCTCTGGCTGGGAACTGCTCCCAGTGATGTATTTGTCCCTGCCCAAAGCCTGGCAACAAGCTGCCTAACACAGCACATAGTAAGTGCTTGAAAACTTATTGAACAAATGAAAAATTATAACAGTGAAGTTTCCATTGTGCCATGCTAGCCAGAACTATGAGATAATGTTTAAAGGCTTTTGAGGATCTTAGAATTCTAGACCAACCAGTTGAAACTTCGGTATTTCTACAAGCAGCAGATGGACTGGACTCTGTATCTTATAAGTCCCTTTGAAATTCAAAATAAGGAAGGAAACTAGTCATACTGAAGGCCTGCTATAGACAAGGCATCATTTCAAATACATTTAAGATTAAATCCTCACAATAGTAGCTAGGTAGGTAGCCAGACTCCCATTTTATAAGGAATAGAGAAATTCAACAGCGTTCTTAGGAATTGTCCTTAAGAAGAGCTCTTAGGCATGTTCACTCCACTACTGCTTACAGAGGGCTATTCTGTAGTGGCTAATCAGATAAACTCTGAAGATGGCTGCCTGGGTTTGAACCCTAGCTTCACCACCTACTAGTTCTATGACCTTGGGTAAGTTATTTATCTTCTCTGTGCCTCAGTTTCTTCATAGGGTTTTGGAAGCATTAAATTGAGTTATATATGTAGCAGGTAGAACAGTGCCTGATGTATAGTATGTTATCAATAAACATCAGTCACTATTATTAGTATTTCATTATCTCATTCAATATTCTAATTTTGTAATAGGTAAAGAAGGTGTTATTTTCATTACTTTACAGATGCAGGGAGCGGGTGGCAGGTCTGCAACAGAACCTAGATAATCTAACCCCTTGCCTAAGGCAAATATCTTGAGTTCTTTGGTGACAGCTGTTCTAGGTCACAAGCATTTTTGGGAAAAGAGAATCCCCTGGAAAGAGAGGTTCATACTGAAAGCAAGAAATTCATTCCAAAATGATATATTCTAGAAGTAGGAATCCATTGGAGTATGATAAGCCCTGCTATAGACAAGGCATCATTTCAAATACATTTAAGATTAAATCCTCACAATAGTAGCTAGGTAGGTAGCCAGACTCCCATTTTATAAGGAATAGAGAAATTCAACAGCGTTCTTAGGAATTGTCCTTAAGAAGAGCTCTTAGGCATGTTCACTCCACTACTGCTTACAGAGGGCTATTCTGTAGTGGCTAATCAGATAAACTCTGAAGATGGCTGCCTGGGTTTGAACCCTAGCTTCACCACCTACTAGTTCTATGACCTTGGGTAAGTTATTTATCTTCTCTGTGCCTCAGTTTCTTCATAGGGTTTTGGAAGCATTAAATTGAGTTATATATGTAGCAGGTAGTACAGTGCCTGATGTATAGTATGTTATCAATAAACATCAGTCACTATTATTAGTATTTCATTATCTCATTCAATATTTTAATTTTGTAATAGGTAAAGAAGATGTTATTTTCATTACTTTACAGATGCAGGGAGCGGGTGGCAGGTCTGCAACAGAACCTAGATGATCTAACCCCTTGCCTAAGGCAAATATCTTGAGTTCTTTGGTGACAGCTGTTCTAGGTCACAAGCATTTTTGGGAAAAGAGAATCCCCTGGAAAGAGAGGTTCATACTGAAAGCAAGAAATTCATTCCAAAATGATATATTCTAGAAGTAGGAATCCATTGGAGTATGATAAGCCCTGCTATAGACAAGGCATCATTTCAAATACATTTAAGATTAAATCCTCACAATAGTAGCTAGGTAGGTAGCCAGACTCCCATTTTATAAGGAATAGAGAAATTCAACAGCGTTCTTAGGAATTGTCCTTAAGAAGAGCTCTTAGGCATGTTCACTCCACTACTGCTTACAGAGGGCTATCCTGTAGAGGCTAGAAAAAAGAAAAAAGAATTTTCCCAGGAGGCTAGTTTAACATAGAGATGACTGATGTTGTTTGATGCAAGATTACTCTTAAAATCCGGTGTCACTGAAGCCTGAATGAACCTAACATCATTTTTTCCCCAAGTATGAGATGTTTCTTAAACAATTCTTTATTCATTTTCCTTTTTCTCCCCTCTATGTATTCTAGTTTTGGATTCTCCTGGGTACCATGTTCTACTGGAGCAGAATTGAATATTAAGAATATAGTGTCACCACATTACTTTACAGATGCAGGGAGCGGGTGGCAGGTCTGCAACAGAACCTAGATGATCTAACCCCTTGCCTAAGGCAAATATCTTGAGTTCTTTGGTGACAGCTGTTCTAGGTCACAAGCATTTTTGGGAAAAGAGAATCCCGTGGAAAGAGAGGTTCATACTGAAAGCAAGAAATTCATTCCAAAATGGTATATTCTAGAAGTAGGAATCCATTGGAGTATAATAAGCCCTGATGGGAAGAAAAAAGAATTTTCCCAGGAGGCTAGTTTAACATAGAAATGACTGATGTTGTTTGATGCAAGATTACTCTTAAAATCCGGTGTCACTGAAGCCTGAATGAACCTAACATCATTTTTTCCCCAAGTATGAGATGTTTCTTAAACAATTCTTTATTCATTTTCCTTTTTCTCCCCTCTATGTATTCTAGTTTTGGATTCTCCTGGGTACCATGTTCTACTGGAGCAGAATTGAATATTAAGAATATAGTGTCACCACAGTACTACCTTCCCCCAGTGACTCTAGATTTGGTGCTGGAACTGCTCTCTCCTAATACTCGACATGTCTGCCCCACAGGGACGTCTGAATGTTCTCACTTAAGCTGTCAAATCAGTTGGTATGATGTTTCTTTAGGCTCTCAGGCTCCTGCAATTCTCGCCACTAGTGTTTTCACCCCGGTCTAGAGTTCTGTGACATTTTTATGGACTGTGGGAGAGGGAGAATTTGGAAATTAGATAATAACTACTGTCGTCTCTGTTTATTTTTAATTTGGGGACATAAAGACATTCATAAGGACCTGAGTTATCGCAGCTGGCCAAGTCTGTATTTGGACAGCAAATGTGCCTGTATTCCTCACTGCTTTCTAAAAGATCTTCAAAGACTTTCATTCATCTCAGTATTGGCCAGGTGAGAGAACTAAGGAAAAGGTGATGAGATGCATCTTTTGCCTTTTGTTCTATGGTGGCTTCCATCTATGGAGTCTCTGGTCATTCTCTTAATGTCACCCTGGGATCTTTTTCTTCTGCAGGACAATATCAGATCTTAAGTTAACAATGGCCAAAATTTCCTCTCGGACATTATAGAGCGATATGTGTTTAATAATCTCAATGTCCCATTAATTAATTAAAAGTATGTGGACCTTTAGGGAGAAAGTAGGGGCCTGTTATATAGTTACCACTCCCAATTGAGAATACCTTTCAGACAGGGGAAAAACAAGCCACCTGTTAGGTGTGTGATAAAGTGATTTTTGTTTACTGTCAAAATATTTCTCTTCTGAACTATATTGCTACTTGTGCTCCTGAGAGAAATTCTTATTACAACATTTGTCTAGTCTTATAAGTAAAGAGGACTTTTAAATATGCTCACTTTCTTTTGTTTTAATCCATGTTCTAATTGGTCATATATGAGTCTAACAAAGTGGATTTTCCAACAGAAAAGCTTATTAGGCTCATGAGAATTAAAGTTTAGGAGATGGAAAATGCAGTAGGGTATGGTTTCCTGTTGGACACCAGTAGCTCTGCTGCACAGTTAAATGGTTGGAATGTCTGTATTTACTTTCACTTTTTGTTCCAGCTACACTTAAGCCCAGAAGTGGTGATGGAGCTGCTGCTCCTAAAATCCTTTACCTCCTGCCCTTGGAAGCAATGAAAGCATCTCTGACCCCAACCACTATACTGCGTCCCCTGTGAAGAAAACATACCTATCACTTCAGGGTCCTACTCCCAGGTGAATCTGTCACAAAGAGTACCCTGTTCCACACTCCTGACCAGGTTCCTGTGTGGTAGGCTGAGCCCTGGGACAGGGAGGCACAAGGGAAGAGCAGAGGGGCCTCAGCTATTCACTTGAGGATAAAGCTGGAGCAGCGGCCTGATCCCTGATTCCCAGGATAGGGAGACAAGTTCATGTCCTAACACACAATCAGCTTTCCCCTGCCTCGCCTTATCTCTCCAGGACAGGGCTTGTGTATCAAGATAAATGACACCTGCACTTGGCTGAGAAGGTTCTGTCTGTGGCCTTTTAGAAGAGGGGAGGAGAGGAAAGGAACTTAATTTGAGCAAAGCTTTGAAATGCCTCTCTTCCAACTCCCTTTCCATCCTCTCTCCTGTGTTCTAGTACCTTTTCCTTCCACTGTTAACTAGGTTTTTCAGTGCCTTCATGCTCTCCACTGGCCGAGCAAATCCCGCCCCCAAACCACTCCTGCCTTCCCCTCCAGGGCTTCAAGCTCCAAAATTCTCTCCACATACAAAACTCTGTTCTTCTTGTCATTTGATCTCAGCTAGGTCAAAAGAATGTCTTTTCGAAGACTAATTTATACTAAGGGGTGAGTGACAATTTATCCCCCCTCTTAATCTTCTCTGTGGATTTTTTCTTGACAACCGAAATTGATCTCTAGTTGGTGGAATCCAAGGCAGCAATGGGAGCAGGAAATAGCTATTGTGGGGCAAGATGGCCCACCAGCTGCTGCTCCTTAAATCTTACCCCCTGCCTTCTCTACCGAGAAGTCACTAGAAGAATGAAACCTCAGCAGCTGCCCCTACCCGCCTCCAGCTAGCTCTTTACCTGGAGTCCCAGCCTCATCATTCATAGGAGGAGCAAATTCTACTATAGATGCAGATAGGCTCTGTTTCTCCCCAAACCAAATAAGACCCTGAACACAGGTACCCACTATGTCCAGGGACCCCATATTTGGGGAAAGTAAGTAAGGCATGGTGGCACCATTTCTCTTTAACCACAAGATTTGGTGATTTGTCTTCTTCAAAGGTGTGTGTGTGTGTGTGTATGTGTGTGTGAGTGAGTGTGTATATGTTAGGAGTTATGTGGGGGCTAGTGGGAAGGTTGGTTGGAGAAGGGTCTAGGAATTATGAATTTTTCAGGAATGCTGCCTTTTTCCAACATGTTTTTAGATCCCATTAGATATGGCCACTAAATCTTTATGATAAAAATGTCATACATGAAAGCAAACTCAATAGCTTACAACTAGCCTCTGGGTTTTGGAAGGGAGTTGGAAGAGAGTTAAAAGTATTTAACATACTTTTCAGCTGAGACAGACCCAGGCCTGAGGATTCCCTTACAGACATTCAGACAGGACTCCTACGCTTCCTGCTATAGAGTCTTCAGTTTAACCTCAGGGCAGTTTCTGTTCTGCCCAGTTCCTTTTTCCTCTTCCTTCTGGCTTCTGAGACTGGAAGGGGGCTCACAGTGAGACTCAAGCCACTCACTGTTCAGGGTGAGGCCCAGACCCAGCTCCACCAAAGCCATCTCCAGCCACACCAGAACTTGGAGGGGATGGAGAGCAAGAGAGCCTGGTTGCTGGCAGCTTGCTGGTCTTGAGACACGTTCAGACAAAGCGATCTTCCCACTTCTCCAACAGTCTGTCCAACAAGTGGGCAAAGAACAATTATTACCTAACAGCAGAAATGTGTCAGACTAACGCTGGGGTAGGTTTTTACCTGATTGCGACACCAGATGGGGCATCACATGCATATTCTCCTTTTCTCTCCTCTCCTTCCCTCCCCTCTCCTCCCCTCTCTTCTCTTTTTTCTTTCTCTCTCTACCTCCCTCCCCTCTCCCTAGATTGTTGCTCAGGCTCCTGGCTGCTTACACTGAGCGTTAGAAAGCCCACAGCTCATGTTATCAGCTCTGTAGCTTTTTTTCTACATCAGTTGGAATAAACAGGAACTGCTTCTATTCTAAATAGCAGATAGGTACTTTCTGGATAACCATAAGGAAAAGAAGGAACTTTGGAGTTTGAAAATCTAATCTCATCTCCTCCCCATTGTTCCTTTCACCTTCTGTATCTAGTATTTCTTCTACTTTCTCTTCTCTGCTTCACCTCACACAGATCCTTATCACGTCCTATATATGAGACTGATTCAGGAAACCCAGAGGCTAGTTGTAAGCTATTGAGTTTGCTTTCATGTATGACACTTTTATCATAAAGATTTAGTGGCCATATCTAATGGGATCTAAAAACATGTTGGAAAAAGGCAGCATTCCTGAAAAATTCATAATTCCTAGACCCTTCTCCAACCAACCTTCCCACGAGCCCCCAAACAGCTCCTAACATATACACACTCACACACACACACACACACACACACACACACACACACACACACCTTTGAAGAAGACAAATCACCAAATCTTGTGGTTAAAGAGAAATGGTGCCACCATGCCTTACTTTCTGGTGACCTCTACTTTGAGTTTCTCTTGAAAAAGAGCAGCCCCTGACATTCAAAATCTAGCCTCGCACTCACAGTTAGGCCATGCTGTTCTCCTAGTAGACATAAACAATCTCATAGAGTACCAACCTCAGACGAGGTTACTCTGCAACCAGGATAAAGTGAACCAAAGCAAGCTCACTTTGTAATTCTAAGAATAGACAAAAACAAGGTCACTGTGCCACCCACAAAATACCAAACACGCCCTTTCTTGGCTAAAATGAGTGGCTGCTCCGTGTTTACCTATTGCAGTTCTATTCTCCTGCTAGTCTCTCCCTATGGATAAAATGTATTGAGATGCACACAGAATTGACCCTCCTTTCTAACAGTATCCCATATAGAGTACCCCCTGCTTCCATAGACCCTTCCCAGATGACCCAACCCAAACCCAAATGCTATGATAGGTTCTTTCTAACTCCCTTTTCCTGAGACACCCCATGTTTTCCCATTCCTCGCCGTAATGAGTCATAATCTTAATTATTTATCTGCATGTGTTCCTGGGGGTCTTTGGTTGAAGGGCATATCATTCTCCAAATAATATCTCATCCTTATTTCCTCTCTTTGCATATCTGTTGTCTGTTACCATGAAGTGGTTAATAACACGAGCTTTGAATTCAAATACCTGGCTCCAAATCCCAGCTCTGCATGACTCTGGCAAGTCACTTAGCCTCTCAGATACTGCTTCAGGAAAATATGTGTCCTAACATGGGACTGGGAGAATTCAGTAAAACATGCAAAGTGTGCATTAGAATGACTAACAGACTGTGAGAGAGACCAACAGGAAGTCATACCACAAATCTGATCTGAAGAACTCTGCTTGGCCCACAAGCCCTGGAAACATGCCAACTAATGTCATCTTGCTTCAATTTGTTGCAATAGCTTAATGACCAAACATACTAGTCCAAATTAAATGGCTCTCAAACAATAGCTATTAGTGATATCTTTTCAGCAACACTTCTACTTGATAGTGGAAGAATGTGCTAGAGTCATCAAAATAAGGCATTTTAATGGATACATCTCAAGTTTTGTGTATTAGTTCTAGAATGAGATATCTGCCCATGCTGCCCTCACAGAGAAATCTCATAATCTCTCAACAATGGGATCTTCT